ATATGTGTAAAAACATTGACATTGAGATAACTACAAATTCAAATATAAGTATATGGGTGGGAATACAAGTATAACTGAAATGAGAAGCATATGAACAAATAATTAGAACTCTCTGCGTCGCAGTATCTCTCTCCCTCTGTCTCTCTCTCTCTCTCTCTCTTCACTCGCTCTCTCTGTCTCTCTCTCTCTCTCTCTATGTATACCTAGAGGTTTTACATACGCATGAACATGAAATTGCACATACACATATGCATATACATGTGCACGTGTGTGCACGTCTTCAAATACGATTTCGTGACAGCGAATATAGGCCCTGGCATGACTGGCCATCCGATGCGTGCCCCGCCTCGGGCGGAAAAGTCCTGCCCGCCCCCCCGTAGACAACAGGAGCACAACCACCTGTCACATTTCTGTCCCTGGGGGCATTTTTCGCCATCGCACAGGAGAACGCTCTCCCAACAACATGTGAGCGACGAAAAGAAAGGGTCTTACGCGAAAAGGCGTAGCGACCTTACGCCGCGGCTTACGCGGGCCGCCAGCGCGGCACGCCATGTTGAAGACGAGAGCGCTTACGCGCGACCTTACGCGGAGGGCCTACGGGCCAATGTCGGTGAAGACGACCCTCTTATTGTTCGTCGCCCATGTGGCTCTCTTTAACGGCCGATCCATTACTCTTTTTTGTTTGTATGCATATATATATATATATATATATATATACATATATATATATACACGTATACATATATATATAAAAATATATTTACACGTGCCTGTGTGTACAAACTGTCATATATGTGTACGAACATCCCCGCACAATCCCCAGTGATCTTTCAGGTCAGCCCAGCGGCCTCCTCCATCTTGCGCGTCATCGAGTGGCCGGGGCCTGCGAGAGAGCGGAGGAGGAAAAGGAGGAAAAGGAGGAGGAGGGAGGAGGAGGGAGGGGGAAGAGGGAGGAGGAGGAGCAGGGAGGGAGGGAGGGAGGGAGGACCAGGAAGACGCCAAACACCGGAGATGCATCCGCGATGCTGCCACACGCCCACCCTTCCTGCGAGTGAGCGGCCCCCGCCCGACGGGCCCCCTGCGAGCGGCCGGGGCCCCGCGAGACAGCAGGGCGGAGCGCCCGGCCGCGCGGGGAGCCGGGCGGACAGAGGCGGCCCCGGACGAGCGCGGCGCGGGCCTGAGCTGGATGGGCCCCGAGAAGATCAATCAAGAAGGGGGACGAGGCCAAGCCCGCCTAATTCCCACCAGCCCTTTGGGCGTGAGTGGTTTAGCGAGCTTTCTCTGTTCTCAACCCCCCTTCTTCCCCTTCGGGGAGGGGTTTTCCCCTCCCCCTACCCCCTCCCCCTGGGCCTGGAGAGGGACCCCGGGGCGTCGCCAGGGAGGTCTTTTTCGACTCCTGGGAGGGTCAAAAAACGACGACCCTCACGAAGATTCTGGCCCCGACGGGGGGAGGGAGTTTGGCCCCTCTGCTCGTCTTTGAAGCAGAAATCATTGATTTTATTACGGTTTTGGCCCCATTTTGGCGTTCTGAGGGGGCCGCGCAAATCTTCCCTCATAGCAAAATCATTGATTTTACGTAGGTTTTGGGCTCATTTTGTCCTTCTCAGGGGGCAGCGCCCATTTGCGCTTCTGAGGAGGTCGCAAGAGGCCCCAAGATGGCCCCAAGAGGCCCCCAGGAGGCTCCCAAGAGGCCTCCAAGAGGCCCCCAAGAGGCCCCCAAGAGGCCCCAAGAGGCCCCCAAGAGGCCCCCCCCAAGAGGCCCCCAAGAGAGGCCCCAAGAGGCCCCAAGAGGCCCCCCAAGAGGCCCCCAAGAGGCCCCAGAGGCCCAAGAGGCTCCAAGAGGCCCCCAAGAGGCCCCACGAGGAGCCCGAACGACTCACACCAGGACGAGGGGCCCGAACGACTCACACCACGAAGAGCCCGAACGACTCACACCACAAGGAGGGGCCCGAACGACTCACACCAGGACGAGGCGCCCGAACGACTCACACCACGAGGAGCCCGAACGACTCACACCACGACGCGGGCCCCGAACGACTCACACCACGAGGAGCCCGAACGAGTCACACCAGGAGGAGGGGCCCGAACGACTCACACCAGGATGAGGGGCCCGAACAACTCACACCACGAGAAGCCCGAACGACTCACACCAGGACGAAGAGCCCGAACGACTCACACCACGAAGAGCCCGAACGACTCACACCAGGAAGAAGGGCCCGAACGACTCACACCAGGACGAGAAACCCCAAACGACTCAAATCACGAGGAGCGCTTTCTCTCCCTCCTCCTCCGCCTCGTCCTTCTCCCGCTCCCCCCACAAGGAGGATGTACAAGGAGGCGGGAGGAAGGAGGAACAGGGGAGATATGCGGGGCCAAGCGGACACACGCCTGAAAAACACGACTGTCGGCATGCTTCGCAAGAGTTGCTGCTGTGAGATGGGCCGGTGGGGATACGCGAAGCGTAAAGAATAACATCAGTCCCCGGACCCCTCCTGGGCTCCAAACGCACAAGCTTTCCGAGCCGCGCCCCGCCCTGGCGACGAGAACCCCCAGGGCGTCAAGAAAGGCCGCAAAAAAGGCCCCCCCTCCCCCCCCCTCCCTAAGGCTGGGACCCGTGCTGGGCCACCTCAAGACCCTCCGGCCGACTCCGCGGATCGGGGGCGCCCAGAGGGGGGCGCCCAAGAGGGGCTCTGCCACTCGTGGCCGAGGCACGTGCGCGGCCCAGGGAGCGCCCAGGGACCGCAGGGAATCCGGGCATATCTCGTGGCCCCGGCCATGATATCCACCCCCCCCCGCCATAGTCTGAAGTCGGGCCTGTCCCCATACAAGGGGATTTTCGAGTATTTGTTTACCTTTTTGGGGTATGTTTGGAGTATTTCCCTACCTAGGCTCTGCCTAGAAGGGTTCTTACTCGCTTGGTTTAAAGGGCCGGGCAGTGGAACCCGCCCCGGGCGGTTCCCCCGGTCCCCTGGGAGCCAAGCAAAAGCAACAGCAAAGGTAAAAGCAAACGCGCGGTTCCCCCAGTTGCGCTCCCTGGGTGCCAAGCAAAAGCAAAAGCAAAGGCAAAAGTGAAGGCAAAAGCGAAGGCAAAGCAAAAGCATAGCATAGCATAGCATAGCATAGCCTAGCATAGCATTAGCATAGCATAGCATAGCATAGCATAGCGCAGCATAGCATAGCGCAGCATAGCATAGCATAGTATAGCATAGCATAGCATAGCATAGCGTGGCCTGGCGTGGCGTGGCGTGGCGTGGCGTGGCCTGGCGTCGGCGGTTCTGGCGCTACTACTACTACTACTACTACTACTACTACTACTACTACTACTACTACTACTACTACTACTACTACCACTACCACTACCACTACCACTACCACTACCACTACCACTACCACTACCACTACCACTACCACTACCACTACCACTACCACTACCATACTACTACTACTACTACTACTACTACTACTACTACTACTACTACTACTACTACTACTACTACTACTACTAGTACTACTACTACCACTACCACT